TGCTCGTCCATCTTCTTCTCTCCCTGCCAGGCCAACTATGGCCAAGAGTGCTCCAAGCCGCAAACGGCCAGCCTCAGCATCTCCCATTCTGGAGGATGATGTTGATGATGATGATGATGATGTCCCTCTTATCGTTAAGAGGAAGGTAATTAAATTGGTCTATTTACAAGTATGCTCTTCCCCATTTGAAATTTTTCTGTGTACTGATGATCTTTTGGACTTTTCAGAAAAGCTCAGCTTCCCCTTCAAAGGCTTTGGCATTACCAACTCCTGCTCCATCATCCTCTGTTGAGGCTACTTCATCCAAACCGATTGATGATGGGACCATGCTTAAAGATACATCTTCAGCCCCAAATTCTTCATCACAACCCATGAATGAGCCACCTTCCTCCCACGGCGTCGACCCCCAATCATCAAAGCAGAAGGTAATTCAGTTTTTGATGTCTTACCTTTGCTCGTGCTATTGATTTCTGACTGGTTGCTCTTTGAACTTTGCAGATACTCCCATGAGTCCACCCGTTGTGGCAACATCTTCTCGCTTGGACAAGGGGAAGTCCTCACGAATGGGTGAGTCGTTGGTGGCCAGCTTGGCTGAGGGTACGCCATCTTCTACGATTGTCGACGAGGTAGTTTTTCTTTTTGCTCCATTCCTATTTCCAACTTGTTCGTTGTAGCGAATATTTTTAATGTTGGCAATCTTCTTTGCAGGATGCTGACAGGATTGTACGTTCTATCCAGGACTTGTTCGCTTCCTGGGGGCAGGTCCAAATGCCTCGCCGTGCTCCATCTGATCGTCATGCTGCTTCTTTAGAAGAGGACTTGAAGTTCTTGAAGGAGTTGGTATTTGAATACGTGTCCTTCATGGACATGGACATTGGAAGGGCTAGTGCTGCCAGACACAAGGATGAACTTGAGAGCTTGAGTGCGAAGTTAGAGCAAGCACTGACGCTTCCGTCGCTCAATCTTTCTGCCGACTTTAAAGCGACGTTGAAGGTCATTC